GGATTACCCATTGTGTGCGTCACAATATGATGACCGTGATCCGTGTTTATTCACCAATGCTACTCTTCTCCCATTTGATCCTGTACTGCCACTTACTACATATAGAAGTTTACTGGCTATTACTTTACTCTTTGTCCATAAAATGCACCTATCGCGATCGACTGCTATCAGTCCATTACCTTGATGTTTACCTTGTGCTCCTGTTTAGTTATATGTCTTGCGGCCCATGGGATCGCTGATCTCCGAAAAAGCGGAGGAAGAACAAGAAGAAGAAGAAGAAGTATATAGAATCAAAATCGCGTGTGCCAACACTACCCTAGACAAATGGTAAGTAAAACAATACAAAATTAGATTCGCATAGTTTTCCAATCTGTTAAAATTATTTAACTATCAAACCATCCCATTTGATCACAACCAATGCCCATTTACAATCCACGGATAAGAATTAAACATTTGTAAAGGCTTTAATACTGGACCAAATATTGGACGGGATGAAGCCCATATTATTATTGACTTTGGAATACACTTCCGGTCAGGAAAGGTTATAGAATCCATCTGGATAGCAAAAATAATGCGACTGCGTCTGTAGCATGCAAGCCTCCGCCTAAATTCAGATGAGATCATGACTTGAACAATTCTTGGAATATCACGATGAGAACAGAAAGCCTATGCTTACAGGTAGTACCTGTATTTGAGGTCGTTTTGGGAGTACGTGCTTGAGTCTATGGGTGAAAAAAAATCCGGACTGTCGATCACAAGGTTCGCAGTTCGAGTCCTGCCGCGGCACTAATGTCCTTTGGCAATACATAGATCTACATTTGCCACACTCAACCCATGTGATGTTAATGGGTACCTGGCAGGAATTAACTCCTTGAAATGCTAGAACGCCGTAATGTCAGCCGTGCTAAAGCCAGGGTAATAATCGGGAGCGCCAGGAGGGTCAAATCTGACTGACATGAGCGCTATACAAGAACCCACTATTATCATTATTATTATTATCAAGTACATGGTCAATGAGAAACGAATGTTCAGAATAGAGGATTTGTTTAGGATCGTGTAAAATATGAATATGTTGGGTACAAAGTGAATGGAGGTTTATTATGAGTGTAAGGTTATATGATTTTATTGACTCTATCGATCCCCTCTCGGATAATGAGAGTACAAACAAACATATTTACACCATAGTATCAATATAACAATATTTATTTATTTATTTATTTCTAATCTTTTGACAGGGTAGCCCATTCACCTACAAGTAGTGGTCTTCCATGGGGCCCTTCATAAACATAAACATAAACATATTTACATCGCTCATAACGTTTATACAAGCAGTTAAAAAAAAATACTCATTTGGAAATAAACATATATCATTAACCTAGTAAACAGTAATGTCAATAGGAAAATATTGATTAAGTCGCAATTATGTGAATAAGTCATGTTAATATTACAAAACATGCACGTAGTGTATGTTCGGCAGAGCCATTCACAAATTACAACTTTATTTAAAGGCACACTGCCATACTTGTAGCTACTTGCTCCCTCTATATAGAAAACTTCCCCAATCGGTGCCTGTTGGTCCCCCATGATCCTCTTTTTCTTATGTTAAATGAGAGCTGAGTTAATGAGATAGCCACCTGTCACAGTGACCTCGATGGCTCTCTGTGTGGTCTAATCCCTTCTGGCCCAGTAGTGGTGACGGTCTTTAAACAATCTCGTAAATGAATTGACAGAGGAAGCCGTTCTCAACGAAGGATCTAGCTTATTCCATTCAAATACACTTATAACAATCAGTGTGAAATCTAGGCACACGTAAACATCCACTGTCTATTTGCCTTGTATGATGCTCATGTACATCATTATGATTGATTAAGCCTACCTGAAGGTAAGAAGGTGCTAAGTTATGAACGCATTTATATATCATCATAACGCGACTGAACTCAAAACCGCTTGTCTAGTTTCATCCATTTAAGACTTGTGAATAAATCAGCCGACGGTGTGTCATATGTCTTGTTCAATATTATTATTGCGGCCCTCTTTTGAATGTTTTGCAGCTTTTGTTTAATATAATAGCATAACAATGGCAAACGTGTGATACTATGAACAATGACATACATAATATGATAATATGAACAAATACAAACATGCCATAATATGAACAATAATAAACATGTGATAGTATGAACTAAATTAATAAACATCTTTACAAATCAAGGCGAACTGGGCAATTCACCCTACTATACCGCTACGAGTGTGCCTAACAACATTTCTTACTTGTGAGCTATTATTATACAGTACTACCATCTATCCTTGGCTCTTTTGAAAAATGTGACAAAGTTATTCTAACAATTTTTGCTAATTTCTTTAGCTGGCAAGCATGAGCTGTATTAAAAACCCTATCCATGTGCAACGCACTTGGTCTTAAGCTACTACCACACATGTTATTTGGTATATACATTTTCCTCTCATTTTGAAAGAATGGACATACAAAAATATAATGAAATTCATCACCAATATCTGTTGTTGTACAGAGTGGGCATTGCAAATCATGTACTACACGTACATTTTTTATCATATCTACCTTTATTAACTGGTATTCTATGTGTTCTACATCCAAATTTACTTAAAGTTAATGCTTCCTTCTGACATAATATATGCAGGTATTTTTCATAAACCAACTTATTCTTAAACATTCTATAGTTCGTGCAAATACGATTTGACCAGGAAGCTGCGCTCCAATGATTTCTGATTGTCATAGTATTCATAATCCAGGCAGCACTATATCCTTCTCCTTGAGCTCGCCAGGTGCTCCCAAGTCCTGCATAATTAAAACTGTCTGCAAGAAACTCAACCCATTGCGACTTTATATTAATTAAACTTTGTGCTTCACTTTGCAACTGCACCAGAAACATGAAAAGACTCAATTAATACTTTGATTGCTTCCCTTTAACTAATCTAACCCAATATTCAATCTTTCTACACTTAATTTTATCAAGTATTTTACCATGTCCACTTTCACCATAAACCATGCAGTCAGGTTTGCACTTATTTTCAAATTATATCGTTCCTAAAAACTTTCTTTGACAAACTTCAAGTTGATCTATACACTCAAAGCCCCAGACCTCATCACCATATAATAGAATCAACAGATAAATGCAAGCTTTTTGCTTTTACTTACTTACTACACATTGCTTTTCTAGCTAGTATGAACTGTTTAGCAATTGATTCTTTTAAATTATCATTATAATTACACGTTACTCTTAAATATACAAAGACAGAAACAACTTCCAGTACACCACCATAATAAACGGATTCTGGAATTCTTTCCCACGTGAAAAAACAACTTGACAATTTTCGTTTTGCTGGCATTAGCAGTTAAGTGGCAAGTATCACACAAATCTTTTACTACGTTTAAGGCTTTTCGCAACTCTTCAGGAGTTGCTGCTAGAATAATTGTGTCATCAGCATAAAACAAAGAAAATAATTCCATATATATTTCAATACCATCAAAAGGCAATTTATTTTTAATAATAGTATTCAAAATTTCTAAGCCCTAGTAAGAGTTTCCAATAGATTATTGAAAATCGTTCAAATAGGCTAAATAGAAAACAAGAGAGGTGATAGGTTTTCACCTTGACGCACTCCAATATTGCATGTAAATAAGTTGGACATATCTCCCTTGTTAGTATCACATGATTTAGTAAACCAGTCCTATACATGTTCCTTATAATATTACAAATCTTGCCTTTTACTACATTTCTAAACATTTTAACCCAAAATGCCGCACGGCCGTCAACCGTTTTCATTCATTTTGTACACAAAATATTCCCTTTTTTCTCTATTGACATACGTGTTATAATAAACTTCTACCCACTTTGTACACAAAATATTCACTCTTTACAAGATCCAACGAAGTTCCTGTATTCTGAACATTCGTTTCTCGTTGACCACGTACTTAAGGATTTGTTCCCATAGACATTAACACATACTCCCCGATTTCTAGTATGTCAATCGAGTAAGCACTAATTTGTTTTGCTTTTTTTTTTGCTCCCGAAAATTTGAATATCGCGCCGGCAGCGATTATTCGCTCAGTGTGTGTGTGTGTGGGGGGGGGGGGGGGGGAGCGGGGTAGTGAGCACTAATTTTATTTTTTGGACCTCGAAAAAAATGCACCCCCCCCCCTCCCCCTTGAGTGCCAGGGTCGGGGGGGGGGGGGCGCCTCTAAACAAAAAGGTAAAATTAACGTGTTTTTATACGTTTTTTTCCCCAGGGGGGATCCGCCACTGCTACCTACGGTGGGCAGAGGCATTAAAAAGGAAATAATCCTCCCTTTATTCGGGACTCTGGTTATTCACTGTCACCATCTTAGCCCCAGTGATCTCGAGGCAGCAGACAGTAATAAATTGCGTGAATAAATTAACACTTGGCTTAAGAAAATCCACAGGGAGCGGACAAAAGCTTGCATACTATATTTGTAATGTTGGTAGAAGCTTAAACTACGTGTAATGATTACCCTAAGCAAATAATTTGTTCTGTATTTCTACAGGCTAGTACATTCTTCTTTTTGGACAGGGCCTGTAGACATGGAATTAACTACTCCAATAGGCCTACCGACCCGAAGACACTCCTTGCTCTGATGAGAAGTGAACACGCACCTTCTGAACTTGTTCGGCTTGTTGAAATCATGAAGAATATTAATAAACGCGTGGTTTGCCGAATTATTTCATGGGGAAGATGACACCTGGGCATAGGAAGAATTACAGCAATAGCCATATGTTGTTTTCATGCATCACCACAAGGCCGTTGGAACTTCCACTAAGGCCATCTTAGAAAGAATCCATCAACATTTCAGTATCCCTTCAGTACAGTGTACAGAGATCATGAACAGTAGTGAAGCGAAGTTCGCTTTCTATAAAGCCAATGCCACATATGAACGAACCATTTTTAATGGCGGCTGTGCTTTTGGCATATGTGATGTTCTGCGTGGGAGACCCTGCTCTTAAATGACGGTAAATCGTGATCCATACGACAGGGTCATTTCTTCTTACTTTTATTGTCTGAAGAGCAGGGATACTCTCTGTGGGCCAGTGAATGTTAAAGATAATACAAAGTTTTGGGAAATTTTGAAAATTGGGTGGAAAGTGAGTCTTTACAATTTTGATATATTTGAATGCCCCTGTGGATGTATTATAAGCACTAAAAAAATTAACCCCTAAAACACTTCTGTTTTCGAGAAAAATTGAATATAAAAATGTACCGGTGCTCCCTGTAAATTTTGATAAATTTCAAATAGCGCCTATGGCCGTACAATGGTAGCTGCGATCATGAAAATCTCATAATATGTACTTGTGATATATAATTTCCAAATGGGAATAGCTAATCGGTCGATTTTAGTCAAGAAACAGTGTTTCATAGCTAAATTAATATCTTGACCTTGAGAGGGAGCTATATAACATAAAGAGTTTATTATTTATAATTTCATAACTTTAGACTCGTTTTTCAACCGGGACAACTATCACTGCATAATTGAAGGATTGCATATGCTTCCAATATGTTAATTTGAACCAAATTCACGACCCCATACCAAAACTTTGTAATACCTTTAAGAATATGTCCATCGTCCCCTGGGCTATACATCAAGGCAGCCACTTTTTCAGACAGCTCCTCTTGCACAAGGATACCTGTAGAATAGGTCCAAACACGACGCGCTATGTACGGGACTACATGGAACGAACCAGAGACACCATCCCATACAATACAAAGAACAAAAGCGAGACGTGCTGGTTACGACAGAAAGCCTTCTTACAAGAGGCTCTCACTAAAGACTACCGCCGTGCCATGCATGCTCAACTACTGCTTAAGCCCCAGTCCCATATAAAGCCGGACCAGCACGGACGAGCACGGACCACTCCGGACCATCCCGGACCATGGTCTGGGGTGATCCGGGATGGTCCGGGATGTTTTGTTCAAAAAAGTGTGATGCTTTAAAAGCTACAGTCCCATATACGTCCCGGACCGTCCCGGACCATCCCGGACCCCATCCGGGGTGATCCGGGATTCGGTCCGTGTTGACACCGTGTTAGCACCGGGGTGGTCCTGGATGGTCCTGGATGGTCCTGGATGGTCCTGGGCGGTCAATAACTCACTCCCGGACTGCCACGGATCAACACGGACCGCCCCGGCGCCACTACGGATGACCCCGGACCCAGCACGGTGGCTACACGGATCACCCCGGATCAAACTATTGTCCCGGACCGTCCCGGACCACCCCGGCAGTTTTTGACCGTCAAAAACATCCGGGGTCGACTCCCGGACCGCCCAGGACCATCCAGGACCATCCAGGACCACCCCGGTGCCAACACGGTGTCAACACGGACCGAATCCCGGATCACCCCGGATGGGGTCCGGGATGGTCCGGGACGGTCCGGGACGTATATGGGACTGTAGCTTAAGACAACTTAAATAAATGGTTTGCCGTTATTGGACTTGTTGAGGAATTTGACATTTCTTTACAGCTCTTTGAGGCAACATTCGGGCTTCCTTTCAAAAAGTTCTTCACCGGAAAGAAACAGGTTGGAATCATAAGATCTACACTCAACAAAACAACGAATAGGGAATTGAGAGCTGAATTACAAAGAAGCGCTGAAGTAAAAGAAGCCTTGTATGAGAATTTAATGATATATGAGGTGACCAAAAAGATTATGAATTTCCAAAAAGAAGTCTTTTGGGGAACTTGATAATGAAACACATAGACAAGATCGTTCAATAATAGATAACTGTGTTAGTAGTATGGTAATAACCCTAGTAGCCACACCTTCCACCAACTTTAGGACAAACGATCACATTACAGCAGTAATGGGATACTTTAAACATAATTATGAAAGGCAATTTGCGTATTGATTTTATGGGTCTGAGCTCGCTCTTTAGTGTGAGCTCGGGTCAATATGTAATGCTTTCTTCTGCAAAAGAAGAATTTGATTAGTCTTGTTCTTTGCAGAACTTGGCTAGATCATATTGCAATATGATATGTGGGGGAGGATTAATGCATTATACAGCATAAAGAGTGTATCATTTTTGGTAAAATATTCTTTAGTATGAATGAAAATGCCGACATCTCGTAATGTGGTGGCATTGATATTTTGTATGTGTTGTTTCCAAGATGAGTTTTCGTCAGTAGTTACTCCGAGAAACTTCGAATTTGATTCTCTAGATAAAGGCAGGCCATCAATACAATTTGTTTTTGTTAAGTCGATTTCTACATGTGTTTTATCTAAATGTATGAATTTAGAGATAACTTATTGCTCTTAAATTTAATGCAAAGTTTTGAGGAATTTTGAAAATTGAATGGATAGTAATTCTTTAAAATGTTGATATGTTTAGATGCCCCTGTGGATGTATTATTAGCACGAGAAAATTAGCCCCTAAAACACTTGAATAACCAAAATTTACCGTTCCTCCCGGTAAATTTCAATATTTCAAATGGCGCCTAAGGCCATTCCATGGTAGCTGCGACCATGAAAAACAGAATATGCAGTTCTGATACATAATTTCCAAAGGGAATAGTAAATCCGTCGATAGTAGTCAAGAAACATTGTTTCAAAGCTCAAAATCTTCTGTGTGCCCATGCCGTGAGCCATAATGCATGGCCGTACAGAGGATTTGTTATGTTGGGGATCGGGGGGAAATTCCATGAAATATTGATAATTAATTTTCGGTGTGTTTTTTTATTTGTGGGAACTGCCCCCTACACTAGCCCCCGCTGCGTACAGTCATGGTTCAGTGGCAAAGCAACTGTGAGGCCCCATGATCAAAACCGTGTCGATGTGCCATATTAGTGCCCTTTTGCGGGGCATTAATCCTCATTACTGTCGTGTATGACTTAAGGGCGTAGGTCCCCTAGTTGATAAGCATAGTAGCATACACAAGCTTTAGCAGTCACGCAAAACAAACACTGGCAAATTATTATTCAAAACAAATCTGAGAATGTATACTATTATCTAGATCTATTAGGAATAAATCATTATCAAAATAATTCCATAAATTGGGGTAACAAAATATATTCCAACTATATGAGCGACAGTGTATATATACTAATGTCTGTTTATGAATATATTTAGATCAAATGAAATTGATATAATTCTATTGTAAAACCAAATTAAATTATCAGATGTCAGCCCCGAAAGTTATTCGAAACAAAGTTTATATGGCCGATAACCAAGACGTCACTTGATAACAATTTACCCAGGCATATTTACACATTTTGTTTCTCTACCTCTGTCGCCATAAAATCACACCTCTCCCATTGTCTGTCTGTCTGTCTGTCTATATTTCTCTCTCTCTCTCTCTCTCTTACCTTCGCCGGGCGTTCTAATTCGAGGATTACGCCATCATCGGCAGGCAGCAAGTAAGTGGGGCAGCTCGCGTTGCTGGTGTGGTGGAGATCAAATTAAATAGACTAGATTCTGGACTACGTCTAGACACGTCCATTCGGTCACATTGCACCGAATTGGGCTTGGTACTGTGGACAAGGAAACAAGTTTATATTGCTATCGGGGTGAAAGGAGGGATAAGGGAGCACTATGCACCCCCCTGACAGATTTAAAGTAAAGCCACAATAGTTATAAGCAAATTGGGAATCCCTGTAAATCGAGGCAATGTCCCCAAAACAGAAACCTAGCCCCCCCCCCCCCCACATCACATAAAGCTGAGGATAAGGTATCTATACCCTGATGGGTGTGGGGTCGAATCGGGTCGAATGCGTATTTTCATTAATTTCTGGAAGTGGACAGAAGGAAAATAAAAACGAATACAGGTCATTTTATATACAGAAGAAAGCCATTGCCCGAAAAATTATGTTGCGGTCACAGTCCATTATTATGTACTGACTTAAAATAAATCCTAGATGACGAACCAAAGACTAGCTTGAGTATAACACCCATGCTCTCTGATGCCCACTTCCTCCTCCATCACCCCTCATTTCAATTTTCCGGGACTCTTAATCCACCCCCACTCATCCACCCTCCCTACGATATACATATACTGGCCGTTACAATGTACGTTCATAGAAATGTCTAATTTCTAGGTTTACCTAGTAAAAACAACTTATTGAAAAAGTTGGGACACTTGAAGCAGTGACTGAGTGAGTGTTATAACAACATTACCTCGTCCCGTGGATCTGTCTAGGGATTCCATGAGGCCCAAACCCAATTGAAATGATTGAGCTTAATGCATATGTCTCCCTCTCTCGGTGAATGTTTTGACAGAATAGATTTCAATCCAAATTCTTTAACCAATGATCAATAACCCCGGCTCCCAATAAACCGAGATGAGATTGGGTGATAAAAAATGAGAAACATTTTACAAAATAGATTTGTTGTATTTTCTTTACATGTAGATCAAACCCCTTTTTTATTATGATAGTGGGACAGTTCTCTCTCTAGCAGTCTCTATCACTTCTTTTTCTCAATTCATCCCCCCCCCTCTCTCTCTCTCTATCTCTTTCACTCCCTCTCTCTCACTCTCTCTCTCTCTCTCTCTCTCTCTCTCTCTTTTTCCCTTTCTTGCACTTTTTCAACCTCGCCCTTATTCATATTCTCCCACCGAAAGATAAATTGTTTATCTACCTACTCGAAAAAATTGCTCTGGTATCAGTAAGGTTCCTTTTTTGTATCTTGCTAGCATGCGGGGTATTAAAAACCTTAACAGACAATTTTCAATTCAGTAATACCGTAATTAAAATCAAGCCTTTATTAATAACATTTATACTGTATAGCTTTGCATATTCACAACAAATAAACTTAGATCATTATGTGTTGATACTGGACGTGCATATAATAGACTCCATATATATATATATATATCCATTTACATTCGTACAGTTCCGATGGATATCTCGGATAAAAAAGGAGTGAATATTACATCTAGAAATCCTGCATATTAATGTGATTCTCTCCATAAACAGCTCTAAAGTATTTGTTATCTGACGACACTTCTTCACAAACGTTATCCTGATCTGCCTAATATGTTACACATACCTGTGTGCTTATTCAAAATGACATCTTATTTTGTACATTTTAATATCCGAATTTCTTTCTTAACCAGAAACAAGTACATTTCTCTCCTCCACCACTGATGTCAAACCTCAACAATGAATGCTAATCCTCCGCTTTACTCTACAGGCAAGTAGAAGAATCAGATGAAAAGATAGGTGCAAGTTTAATAAAATGTGAAAATAATAAGACAGTTCCGATTTGTTACATTGATGTTAAATATACGCATGGAAATGTTAGTAATGGCGGATTTGAAAGTTTACTTGAATGCAATGTCGGAAAATAAAATCAAACGACATTATAATTCCTTAATTTGTATTATTTGAAGTAACACAAATCTGTTTTAACCAGGATGCCGCGGCACATCTCTATGGGAGTGCCGCAAAAGAAATTAATTTAAAAAAAAACATTTTCAGTAAATTTTGAAATAACTGTCATTTTCGTAAAAATTAAGTATTAAAGATCGCTTTGTATTTTCATGAGGAAATAACATTTTAAAGACATTTTAGTGTCTTTTTCCTTCGCTTGCTCGCAGCCTTTAAAAACCAGGATGGTTTTAAACAGCTAGGTGCCGGAATACCTCCAAATCTGGTCCACGAGGTGCAAGAATAATAAACAAATGTGTCGGTACGTGAAAAGGGTTCAATGTTAATATTACATTTGTTAAGAAAAAGGTCAGTAGTACCGAAGTTTTGTTTAATGTGCTTTGTCTCTTTATAGGAAAGTGAAAAACAAATCATTGAAGGAAACTTAGATTCATGATTTATCAGAATATATCGGATGTAAACAGGTAAATTGTAATGGTGTATAATCAATATAGTATAGTGTACACGATATTCATACTTGGTATAAAAAATAAGTCACTACCCAAATCATTTGATATTCATGAATAAATTACAATGACATTATTGTCTCTTATAATTTTATCTATTGATTATTCAAATCATGGGTTAAAAGGATGTCCCCAAACACATTTTGACCCTCAACCTGTACATTTGCTATTTCAGAAATTGTCGTTTAAAAAAACAAGAAACACCGTGTCTCATGTTTGCTTTGATTAAATTGTCATGTGGTTAATAACCACATAATAACATAATATGTTAAAGTAATGGTAGTTAATTTTGTTGTTTACAAGTATATACATATAAACAAACTATGCGAGGTGACAACATGGTGTTTAATTGTGGGTCTAAGTCATCAACAGAAGGAAGACATGATAAAGAAAAGAAATTTAAATAAAAATGAAAGACATTCGCCAAGACATGCAGATATATTCAAAAGACCTGCAGTGCATTCTAATCATCATACCATTTAGATATACAATTTAAACGTGTTTACCCAACATCTTAAACAAGATTTGTACTCACCTCAGAATAAGAGTACTAGTGTTTATTTTTACATTCTGATAGTACTTAAATTAAAAAGGTACGTGATAGTACCCCCATTAACCCGTGTTTACGCATTTGGACAAGATACATACATATATGTTTATGATTATAGAGTTAGGATATTCTCAATCAACCTGAAACATGCTGAATGGCCTAGGTTCGTCTTGTATTTTCGTACGTCGCCTTCGCTTCTGGATCGAGATCTGGAACTCTAACCCGCAGGTCATTGTGCTCTGTATTACTCTGTCGGTTGTTATCCTTCACATCATTCGTAGCAACATAGATATTTCTCTGCGCACCGTTAGCCGGCTGGTCTGAACAACCAGCTGAACCGCGAGTAGACGAGGTGTCACTTTTTGGTTTGCCGACATCGCGTATCATCGATCGTTCGTAACCTGCTGGGACGCCCCCGCTTCCATTCGAAACAAACGAGTCTTGGCGGAGTACCTGTATCATGTAGGTATGGTCGGGTCTGACTGACGTTGGAGACATGTCACCAGGCTCTCGAGGCTTCTCATACAAGTCATCATCAGTTTTTATCTCCTGGTATATGTCATCGTTCGGTGATGATGGTATAGTGGAATATGGAGGTGGAGGATCAAACACAGATGTTGTTGGTGGACGCTGTAATGTATATCGATCATCGCTGGCTGCATAAGGCATTGCCATATTATCCTGAGTGGTGCATGACGGCAAACTCGGTAAAGTTGCTCTGCCATTACGGAAAGCAGCTTCTGGCCCGTGTCGAAAACGATCTCTACGCTTGTTCCTTCTGCGAATGACTGCGACAATCACGACCACTACAACTAGTATAATGAGGAAAGCAACAACAGCGATGCTGATCACTAACGTTGAATTCTCGCCACCCTTTAGTGGTTCACTCTGCTGAGAAGTTATAGTTGTGCTAGATTGAAGATGTGGATCAGTCTTTAATATAGGCGTATTTCCTGTCCCAACAACATTAACAACGTTTCGAATGTTTAAAGTTCCTGCCGCATTTGTACCAGTACAACTGTAGGTTCCAGCATCTACCTTTCTGATTCGTATGATAGTCAGAGTGCTTTCTGAGTCAACGATGAAAGGGATCTTATTGGTATTAGGTAACAGCTCGGTATGATCAGGTGTTAGCCAATGGAGAGCAGGTGATGGATCCGCTGTAATGCTGCATTCTATTACGAAGTTTTCACCTTCATTGACCGAGTGCGTCATTGTCTCATTGAGTTCAGTCTGAGGCATACAGGCGTACTCACTTTCAACAATGTCAATGATTCGCTGACCAATCAGGCGATTCGGTGATACGCACTCTGGTTGACGTTCATCAGGTGTGTTGCCTGTATACGACGTAGTCAACCAAGTATGCAACCAACGTAGATAACAGTCGCAATACCAAGGATTGTCGGCGATATCAAGGTTGACACCACTAGGAAGAGAATCAAATACGTGGTCTGGCAAAGTAGTAATGTTGTTGGAAGAGAGGTACAGATCTTCGAGTCGACTGAGTCCTGTGAACGCACCTTCCTCCACTGTAGACAAATTCGAGTACTCTATCAACAAGAAGACGAGATTGGTGTTCCCTACAAACATGTTTGAGGATAACCTAGTTATTCCAGAGTCCTCCATGTGCAGTTGTTCGAGATGCTGAAGGTGTTTAAGTACGGTAAAATTACTACAGGTTAGTGGATTCATGGATAGTATAAGGACTTTTAAAGCTCTGAGTACTGCAAGAGACCCAGGAAGACAATGCAAAGAATTCTGACGAACCTCTAACGTGATTAGAGAAGGAACAGAAGCGAAAATGATTTCACTACCGAAGAGGTGGCCCCCATTCTGAGTAACGTTGTTCATCTTGAGGGTTTCTAAGCTAGTCAGTCCATCAAAGAGATTGGATGGAATCGCTTCGAAAACAACATTAGAAATATCAAGGAGAAGCAGGTTTGTGAGGCCATTAAAGATTCCCTCAGGCAAGGACTGCAACGGATTTCCAACTATTTCTAACTCGTTTAATTTCACCAAACCGCTGAAGGTGTCGTTTCCGAAGGACTGTAACAAGTTATTGTCCAAGCTCAGCTCGAGTAGCTTTTGCGTGTTTCGGAATGTTTGGCTATGAATGAATCGGATCCTGTTATATTTCAGATTAAGTACCTCAAGATCTTGTTGATATTGAAAAGCATTAGTATCGATGAACGATATCATGTTATTATAAAGCGTGAGTTGCTTCAGATTTACCATCCGTGAGAAATCAGTTGCACTAATATTTTCAATGCGGTTAAACTCAAGTCGGAGAATCTGCGTGTCTGGAGGAAGACTGCTTGGAATTGATGTGAGGCCCCTGGTGCCGCAGCGAATCTCCTTACGACTATCGTAGCTACTGCAATCACATATGCCCGGACATTGTGCAGATACAATGTAAGCCGTGCACAGGATGACAGTCAAAATCAGCATCGGTCTCTGAGCCATGGTTTCTCGTTGATTCCAGACGAGATCTTTCGTAATCTGTTGGAAAAGCAATGAAAGAAAATAAACTAATTAATATTTTGAACAGTTTAATACAAAACAAATTATCTTGACAAATTTCGACATATTAGACTGACTTTTCGTTCGTATGGTGTGTTTTTTGTTTTTTTTGGTATCACTTCAATTTGTCTTTTGTTTCATAAAATTGTACGGAAATGTATTTTACATTAACCAATGTTATGATAGATTAGTTGAGTCAAGAAGTAGCATAAACATATACTACGAATTTATTGAACTACTTCCCCTTTGTTTTAATCTTGTCTTAACGTGTTTTGCGGACGCAAAAACAGGTATATCACCTATAAAAAGTGATTCCAAGCAATAAGGAAGTAGAATGTCATGAATTTATTGAAAAAGTCCAAAACCCAAGTGAAATTTTTCCTTTTAGATTGTAAATATCTTTCAATATCTCAACGAAAATGAAATACATCACGATGGTAACGCTATCTCACTACATAAAGGGCTGGTACCATTTCAATCACCACTACTAATATCTATAACGATATATATATATATATATATATAGTTATAGATCTTAATATTAGTTATTATAGTTGATTGGGCCCACCGCCTCCCTCTCCCTCCTAACGAGATGGTTAAGCTGGAGAGGATTTGAGACATAATATATAACTATATCGTTCTCATATCGGACTGCTGAAGTTTAGATGGAAAGGTGTTACCATGTCATGCGTCCACGTAATTCATTATCAAAGGTTCGTTAGCACGCATCAGTGAGATAAGACATGAGTCACTAATATTCGTTTGAAATTCAAATTCAGAAGACTAATTTGGGAACAATTCATAGTTACATTCATCTTTATCGTTATTGTTCAATTAATACAGGCCGTTTGAACAATTGAAAGTTAACTTTAAGTATGTCAAACTGTTTATTTCATTGATTTGAATTTATTGGAGCTGGTATTGTAGGGTTCCATTACCTTTCGTGACGTCATAAGAGAATGAATTCAGTTAATCCAAAAGTACAGAGCGATTTCTTCCCCACAATTTATGTACTAGCCGTCACAATAACAAATATCACTGACTGAGTTATTTCTCTACATATCACAAAAAGAATTTGTATTTATATTGATCTGAGGGAGCAAAGTGCAACCAGGGAAATTGCTGGAGAGGGAACAATGGGGAAACATTCCCCGGTGGGTATATGCATGTAGATATCAGAAACCAGGAAATAGTATGAAGACAGTGTCAATTCTAGTTCAACATGTTTAACGTGCACTTTAGATAATAATGAATACATATTTGTTCTCAACAAAATGAATGCAGGCAGAGAGCCGTGGAAGAGGCATTCGTCCCTGAATTTCACTAGGCAACAGCGCAGTTCAAAATGGTACTGACATTGACATAACAATCACGCGGTGAGACGAGGAAGGATATGATTTCTTGTTCCTGTCTGATTTGATGGTTGTTTACAGACAGGTCTATATATACTCGGCAGATCGCAAATGGCATACGATCCCAAATGATTATTAGAATATATTGGGGCAAAATTATATTGGAAATGTTCGTTTTAAGGGACCTAAAGCAACCTTGATTAAAAGTTTTAAGACGTATTAGCTCTTTATTTCTGTGAAAGTGGACCATGACTAACGGACATCGGATAAATAACACCCACGTACACGGTAAAGGTCAAGGATTGTATCAAGACAAGTGTACACATGAAAGCTGGACATTGATATGCGTCATTGCCACAGCCAGAATATTACCTATCCTCACTGAGAATAACTCACATTTAATATTACAACGAAAGTAAATATCAGAATGTTATTTCCTTTAATATTGATTACAGTATCCAAATTATCTTTACCCAAATGGTATCTCGTTCGAAAGAACAAACTTATTCATATTCAACTCTTTTCTGTAATTGTCTTCCGAAACATTGTGTCTTTTTTTTTATTCAAAGATCGACGAATCCACGACCGCAGAGAATTAAAGACCTCTTATCACAAAGAGCATCAATAACAAATACTTCTTGCAAGCACAGTTTGACATATTAGAGACGTGCTACTTGCATTGGATAGGTAATGGAATTGATGTTAAAATGTTAGCAACGTATTCCCAATACGTCAATATTGACAATGGATCTGTCAATGTTAAGGGCTGATATCATCCCCAAATAATAAGACCAATGATTATTAAAAGAAAGTATACTTTGTCCCAGATAAACCAGGAACCAATGAAAATTAGAAAACATCGGTTACAACTTTCAGATTGTCAATGTAAGTTAATCCATCCGACCTTTGAAATTTTGGATGAGTTTCAAGGGTTTCTGAGCTCAAGCTTGCTCTTCCTCGTCCGGATAAAGCGCTAATATTACCCCATAATAACAAACAAACTAATGTTCGTAATAACTTTCTTCTTGAAGGATAATTGGTTTCAGATGAACCGTGTCATTAAAATGTATAGCACTTCCTCAAATCTCTCAATTTCTAAAGACAAGAGTTCCGGACATTGTATGTAAATCATGGTCAGCATGGGGTAGTTTAGGGATAAGGGTCCACAAGATTGGCCATGAAATACAAACGTAGACACTGTGGGCAAACAAAGAAAGACCTCCAAAAAGGAAATATTATCAGATAGGTAAATCAAAGTAAATAGAATTTAGAGGTAACAGCAGAATATGCTTTGAGCTGAGTTGTTTATTAGACGTAAAAGCAGTTCTGCATTTACATTGTACATTCAATGATTGGTGTACATCTATTTCGCACTAGATCAGTATTACATGTTCAAGAAATGTAAAAGAAACCAAAACGAAAAAAACTAACAAAGCTTATCAACAAAATACTATATACCTTGACCTGTTTACATTATAATTCGTTTAAGTTACTTATAAAAATTGCTTTGTTGACGTCTTGTAATCGCGATTATGCCATGATATTAGAGGTGTTTTCACAATTTTTAAAATATTATTATTATTATCATTATTGGTCTCCTTTGTGCATGTACATGTTTAACGTGACGATAAGGCGCATATAACGATGGTTTATACAGCATGACCTCGCACACTAGAGTGTCGGCATGTCGACATGTATCATTTATATCACACCAAAGTAATATATATATATAATGTTACAAGATTGCAAAACATGCGTTTAAAAATTCTCCCTCATTTATTAAGTTCGAACTCGATTCGGCTATTCATTCCCATGACACAAGGTCTTACATTTTAACCAAACACACAGCAGTCTTTTTGTTTGATATTAACCTATAGCACCGTAAGACATTGCAGTAAAAACGAGTTTATTCAATAACCAAGCGGGTTGAACCAAAGTACTATGTCTTCATTGTTATTTTGCTAAAGTGTATGCTTGAAGCTCAAACAAGGTGATCATTACTCTCAGACTCCAAAAATGCCGCACCATTTTGAAAGAGATTTCCTTTCTAATTATATTATCTGGAGGTTCAAGATATAGCAGCCTAACAGAAAGTTCTGGACTTATTTTCCTTCTCTTCAAATTAATGGCAAATTGATGTAAGAACGAGGAAGTGCGACTATATATATTAATCATAGTTATGCAATGTACATTTTTCAGTTTTACCGCATTATATATTTTACAATGTCTATCTTATATATATGTGATTATACCTTTACTAAAGATCACAAGCGATGTTGATTTTAGATCGAAAATTTCAATGTATCGATGCATTTCTCTCTCTCTCTCTCTTTCTTTCTCTCTCTTTCTTTCTCTCTCTCTCTCTCTCTATCTCTCTTCACCCTCTTACTCACGCTTTATATTTACATCCCCATGTTTGTAAGGTTCTACCAACAGTAAAACAAGTTATTATTGTTTGTATATTTTGTATTATACCTTACGTTTATATGTTCTTTTTTTATTCAGTTATTATATTTGGAAAAATGCAGTAATAAAAGCACAACTTTAACAGTATTAAACAAGTCAAGACACGTTTTTATTTCTGAGGTATTTTTATATTTGTTTGCCTTGTAATTGATTGCGGAAAACCAGGAATATTTAAAATCTTTTATATGTATTTCATATTTCAATTGCTTTTTATGTACATGAATTATTAATGGCTCTAAACAGACTACTCTTGTTAAATATGTGAAATAAATAAACACATTTTTATGTTGCAATACTTTGCAACATACACATTTATTTACTTATTTATTTATTTCACATAATGATGGATACTACGAAAAATATCCATCAGCTTGATCATGACCATTGTGAGAGGTCAATAAGAAGTCAGTTCAAACTCTACCAGCGAACTCTCAGTCCGGATAGGTAAAGGAAGTATTAGGATCCAGTGAGGTGAAATGCCCGGCGAATTTGACCGTACTAAATTATTAAACATTTTCTTTTGCCGATGTATATGTATTAACATTATGATGGGACCATATGCTTCACTTGTTTACAGGACAAGGTTACTTGTTTCCTTTCAAATTACAGTCGGTGAGTTGGTAGCAAACATATATGTGACCGTGAATATCAATATGTATTTTCTTGTGTTCCTTTTACCATTAACATTCTTGTTTTTGGTTACAATTAACTTAAAAGTTTCCAAACAAGTCCGGGCATATTAAGTCTACTTTGAACAAAATTTTCAAGCACTTCTTTTTAGTTTTTATGGTCAATCAAAACCCTACCTGGCTATATTGCAACATCAACAAGTCACAGCAAAATGTTCGCGCGTTGACGTAATATTTAAAGTTCGAATTTTTACAAGTTTTTAAACTCACATTCCTTTCCAGAAAGGAGCATATAAACATGCTGTGAGGCAGCATGGACCTAATTCGTAGTCGGTCCTTGCTCACACGTACACCTCATGATCTCTGGTCCTGACAAACAAAGTAAATCTTCGTCCGTAACTCTGAGAAACCCCGTCCGCTCCCGAGAAACTTCAGTTGCTATGGGAACAGGGAGTATCATGTTTCAGTGAAAGTAAACAAGGAGAGCGTGGGTACATGTTACGGAGGGATCTTCTAGCTGACATGTCACTGGAATGAAGGGGTCAATAGCATGACCTTAACTTCACATTCTTCATCCATGACAAAACCTAGGCAACCAAAAGTTTTGTTGTGATTGTCTCGATTCGTAAACATTGTAAACAAGCATCATAATGTCAGTGTCAAAAAGGTAAAAAAAAACTAGGCTGTTTTCATGGCATTGAAAACAAGTATGAAATGAAGTTTATACTTGCCACGCACAGAATAATCTAGCTCTATCGCCAGCATTAAAAACAGGTCTGCGAAGTTCGACTGTTACATCATGTACCGTGTTATACAAGCAATGGACGAGTCAAAGTGATAGTTTCATATTACATGTACATTAGTGAGTTGCTTAACGAATTACGTACGTATCAAAGTTAACAAAGATCATTAACATGGGCAACCAGACAATAAGATCAAACAGTGTGCTGTACAAATGAAACGAGTTAACCGATTAAATGCACCGAAATATTTGTTCCATATACCATGTTCCTCGGCATCAGTGGTTCGCGTACTACAAAGACAAACATCTATGTGCAGACCCTATAAGCCCACGTACTATATATAGCGTTGAGGCGAGGATTAGGCTAGTATCTTGTGAAATATACAAGTACAACAACTACTACTGCTACTACTACTACTACAACAACAACAACTACTACTACTACTACTATAGACAGCAATAACCATCTGATTTGGGTCATTTCTTTAATAAAACTGACATTTGTTGTCATTCCCCAATACAGATGGCAACCCAGAGATCTCGTACCGTGGGGCAGGCTATGTACATATTTTCGTCCACGACATTTTCTCCCCGATTTTCTTTATTTAGATCTAATTTCCTGATTTCTAAATCAGATGTAAATTAGGTCGGTATGTCATTTGTCCTAATTACAGTTATCAAAATTTGATAACTCAATATTAAATGGATAAATTACGGACTTACTTATATGAATTATCCAATTTGTATCTCCGAACGTTCATGCACTCGGAATTACATAGGGCTATATGACCCGGCGGCCAAAATATTTCCGGGTCAACCTACCAAAACATAGCCAAATGGCCAATCAGAGCACTCGTTTCGTGGGAGTTCGTTGGTCAAGCTGGGCTTACTCGTACGTAGCTACGGTAGCTATTGGACGTTCGAATATGAATATTCATCAACTAACACCAAGACGGATAATGTTGACGACGAGACTTTCTCGGATTAATCATTAATTTAGGATCTAAATGAGCAAGCTATCGTAAGTCAAATAAGCTATATATATGTTATTTTTAATTTGTGTTATAATTGCAGCAGTTATGAGGATGTAAAGAGTGAAAATTTCGTTGCATATCTCATTCATCGCGGTCCGGTCGAACCGAACCATTTGTTCCGTACAGTGCCTCACAGAAAGAGGTCCCCAGACTTCAGTCTCTATAATCGGAGGTCTAGTGGAGCCAGACGTAGTCTCAGTGGAACAACCGACGATTAGAGAGACTTTCGGTCTACTACTACTACTACTACTACTACTACGTCTAATACCGTTACTATTACTTTTTATAATTAGTAGTAGTATTACCACTATTAATACTACTCTGTTGAATACTACTACAACTACTACTGCTACTATATCTACAATCACCACCACCATCAACATCACCACCACCACCACCACTACTACTCCGTGTTAGTGTCGTATGATTAGCATAATCAGGTGAATATGGGTCACTCAGGTCTGATAACAAACATCCATGCAATATCATATTGCCCTCGGCTCCGAGAAGTGAAGAAAGAGCAATATATTATAAAAGTAACCAGCTACTAAATACTTACATGAAAAATGTTCGACTATGAGAACAGATCACTGCTGGAAATTACCAGTCCATCCGAAATGCAACCATAAATGACAAGATAACTATTGATACGCAATTTGTTCCGCCTCTGTCAAAAGTAGGGAGTGTCCCTTTTGCTTTAGCTTTCGTTCCCGCTTGTTGTCAACAATTTATATAAAGGATGCGGTACCGCACATCATTATTTGTACGTGTACTGGGTCAGACGCGCGCGCTTCACTGCTCTATAACAACACGTACAGTGCGATGCTGATTTCATTACTATTGGTGGACTTCATTCCCTATCTGTTTATAGCTTTTAACAAATAAAGTTATGATATATAGTCCGATCCAATATTTATTAATTTGAAAGCAATAGTTTTTTGACTGCATGGTACAAAATAACGAACTTCAAAACTTGCTTTCCAAGAATTTTTTTTTTTTTTTGGGGGGGGGGGGGGGGGACGTCTTATAGACTCTCTGATGTCAAGAGCTTAGGTCGTCACAAAATATTGAATTTCTTGGAATGCAAGTTTCGAAGTTTGTTATTTGGTATCTCTCCAATGTCTTTCGATTTCAAATTCATTATAGTCGATTTGGCTATGAATCTCACTCAAACCACTAAGTGGCGTACGGTAAGAATGTATAATTGTTGTCAGATTATGTCGTAAAAATAACCGTAATTTTTAGTGCCGATTCGCAAATTTGAAAAGAAATGTTTACAGTTCTTTACATTTCTGGGCGTTGTGTAATATAATAGAGGTTGACACACGCTGTGCGGAAATTGCTGTCTTTCCTTGACATGCATCTCGTGTTTTATTTAATATTTAAAACGAAGCGTTATTGAACCAAATAATGGGAGATTACACTGAATGGCTCAAAGTCTGAAAACGAAAAACGAAAGACACAACATCAATGCGGACTTTCGATCAACTTAAAGCATCAATACCATATCGTATACATCCATAGAGATGATATTAATCCCCGAACTTCAATGCTCACTGCCATCAAAACGCATTGATGCTGATGAGGGTCCCTTGCATGCACTATTATTGTTATCAATATTATCACTATAAAGTATCAACACTTCAAAATTTCCTTATCTTCTCGTCTAACTCTTGTAAGTGTTCGTGTCCGTTGATCAATCTTTATAAAGACCTGTTTGTGTAACTTTATAGAATTATGCTTATGACAACCATTGACATAAAAATTAATGGTAAGATAGGAAAGAAAAAGCAGGTATTAAAAAGAAGGGTTATAAAAATTATGATATCCTATACAATTTTAATTGTATAAAAAATTGTTTAAGAATGTTCTCATATATTTGTATTTTCATCCATTTACCACCCCACCACCCCCCCCCCCCCGCTTTCTGGGGAGGTCCTTAATCATTCAGTTCTTAAACAAAGGGGGAAATGGGAATGTAATTACTTTCTCTTTGATCTTCGGCATGGAATCATTTTGAGTGAGTTCTGGTCTGGGCCATGATACCGGGAAGTGACGTCCATAGGGGAGAGCGTGGGAAATGACGTCCATTGTTTTTACAAAAGTACAAGTGAGGTTGGAAGTCCATATAGGCGCAATAAATTTGAGTCATTAAGGATGAGACTTTATATGAAATCAAAGAAATTTCGGAAATTCAATAGAATATGATATTTCCGCAGGAATATTTATAGACATGCAATACTTTTGTTTAAAGGCACACTGTCCTACTTGTATCTACTTGCTCTCTCTATATAGAAAACTTCCCCAATCGGTGCCTGTTGGTCCCCCATAATCCTCTTTTTCTTATGTTAATTGAGAGCTGAGTTGATGATATAGCCACCTGTCACAGTGACCTCGCTGGCTCGCTGGGTGGTCTAATCCCTTCTTGCTGAAGTAGTAAACCTGCCTTTAAAGAAATCACACAAGACTATAAAATATCAGCCACCAACTTTAGGGTGGAGAAGTACTTTAACGTTAATTTTGCTTATGAGCTGGTTGAATGTAGTCTGAGGAAAATAGAATCGAACGAAAATACTGATATGAAAATGTCAGCTAAACTATCTGAAAGTTCTTTCTCATTTAATTTCCCGTACACCCTTGTTTATGATCGCAATCTAGTTGAATTATATTAAGACTCTCATCACCAACATCAAGATAAGTTAAAGGATAACTGGTTTGTTCCTGCGCCTTTCTTTATATTGGTGTCTAACTCTGTCTCTCTGTAGTTCTTTACTCTCTCTCTCTCTCTCTCTCTCTCCCTCTCTCTCTTCTCTCTCTCTCTCTCTCTCCTTATCTCGCTCTCGCTCTTTTTTTCAAATTCAACAGTATAACAAGTTACATCAAAATAGCATAGGCCCATCCAACAGCCAGCATGTGGTAGTAAAATATAGTCTTTGGAAGGCACTGAATAGAGATTACCTCTGTGTAACCCACATCCCACTCCATCAAACAAAATATAATTTTTGAATATTTACATCAAGATGCAATCCCCATAAATGTTGAAGGCGACTATAAAAGTGCAGACAAAAAGCAGGCGATCAAGTCATAAGAGACAAAAAGAAGAACATAACTTTACAGCAGCTGTAATTGTAATTCTCTCACATTTATGAATTATGATCAAATCGTTTGTCAATCACAATCAAAGCTATACATGGCATCACGCAATGCTGCGTTTGTCAATTATAATCAAACATTTCGAAGCCTAAGGCGTACACATTTTTCAAAGTGTTGCAAAATAGTTGCGGGCTCATTGCAAATCCTATTTTAATCTTTCTGGACAGAATGGTAACATAAACAAGAAATATATATTCTCTCTCTCTCTCTCTCTCTCTGTGTAACATGTGTATTCATGTGCATAGCTGTTATTTGAGTTCACTAAATAAACAAAGGAAACAAGGAAATGCGATGGAGTCTCCATCCTCGTCTAACATATACGACTCAGCATTTCTTTTTCCCCTAAAATTTTTCAGTACATTCTTCGAAACAGTTTCAGTTTATTCTTATTCAAAAATAAGGTCAATGGTTATTAAAATAGATTAATTTTCTCGTTTTTTTTCCTTTATCATATTGCTAGTCTAAGTGAAGTACAGGTAAGCGCTTCATGAAACAGTTATTAGTCATTTGTCGACATTCCATTAAAATGCATGTTTATGTTAATACGTGTATTTTAATCTGTATTTAAATGGATGTTGGCGAACTTGTATTTACGACAGTTTCATGAATTGCTGCCCATTCGTATACGTTTGGAAAAAAAATATTATGCATTTAATGACCTGTTTTTTAAAAGAGATGTTTTATAATAGTTTACTTGTGTGAATTTTTTTTTTAATGTGGTTTAAAACGGATCTGAAAACAAAACATATTCTTGAACCCTGTGGCATAAGGCATTGTCATGTAATGACATATAATATGATTGACAATCTTACACATGTTCATGTAGATGCTTGGCAAAATTGATGCTTTAAGAATGACTGAATGACCAATTTGACAGGATTTCTTTATTTACAATTATATAGACAATTGAACATGGTTATTCACTTAATAATCGTGTAATATGTTATTTAGATCATAATTTCATATAATATCAGGCATAACATGTTGTCATGTATAGTCTGGCAATGTTTGTGCCAAATGATTTTAAATTGACTTCAAATCAATGTATGTATTGAATATTAAATAAATGTACTTTGCGTCTTTGTTACTGGTAGTGAAATGGTTAAGCATGGATAGAAGGTCAGGGTGACAGGTGGAAGATAAATGAGAGATGGTGAGATAGAGGCAGGGTTGGAGGGATGAACAGAAAGAGAGAGAGAGAGAGAAGAGAGAGAGATTTGGGGAGGGGGCAAGTGAACAAGAGACATGTAGAGGGAGGAGGGAGGAGGGGCGACGGCCACTAGATGTGAGAAGATGAGAGAGAGAGAGAGAGAGAGAGAGAGAGAGAGAGAGAGGGAGAGTGGGATGGGGGCAGGGGTGGGGCAAAAGAAACAATGTATGGGGGAGGGAGGAGAGGGGAGACATGCACGAATGGGCAAATGGACAAGAGATCACAGTTGGGAGAGGGGGAAGGGGCAAGAGAACAAGAGATGGGAAGAAAGAGAGCGAGAGAAGGGGAGGCGAAGGAACAAGAGGTGTGGATGGAGAGAGAGAGAGAGAGAGGGGGGAGAGAGAGAGAGAGAGAGAGAGAGAGAGAGGAGGCTTGGGGTAGGGGTAAGAAAGGCATGAATGCTGCAACGTCAAAGAATCCGGTTATAATGGTAAACTAGTTATGGAATTGATGATAGAGAGAGAAAGGGGAGGGGCTGTATAAACGGATCGTGTGGGTAATTTGGGAGTATTATGGAAGGCAGCGCCTGAAGCTTGCATTTTGTTTTAGTAGTAAAGAAGTGGCAGTTTCATTTTACCAAGGGGAGGGGAGGGGAGGGGGGCAATTTATCGTGTCTCTGTTCGGCAGCCCCAGTCCACCGATTCAACTACAGTATAATTAACCTCGTCATTTAAGGTGATAATGTGAAAAACGTCACTGAATCTCACGGATCCCATCAGTCTCTGTGACAACTGGTAATTTCCCCCAATTACCTTGCCTTTGGGATATCGTTGTTTCAACCAATCAGAGATCTTCCTCAAAAAATAAATGTTCATCATTTTGATGTATATTGCTTTCATCTGCGGGGAGTTCATTGTGATAAACATTTACCACGCCTAATAACTCTCGTTCTCTAATTCGACTGGAAGCGGGAGTTTAATGTTCACGAGTCTTAAAAAAAACCATTCCGCCAACATTATTTTCCATTGTAAAATTGGTCGTTTTGAAGATGACTCTGATGATAACTCTTATTGGGGAAAGGGGACATTGAAGAAATCCATTATTGAGAGTTGACCAAAATGGTAAGACTCCGCCATTCAACCACTGATACAAATTTTACCAAAAAAATGCTCTTACAAGGTGCCTTAATATTTGTATGACCTATTTCATACATCTAGGTATTTCAATTGCCAAAACGAATACCGGTAATATTGTGGTATATAAGGCGGAATCTTACATAAATTTATGAACGATTGGAGATTTGTGTTTTTGCCACAGAATTATAAATATGGGGTAGGCCTAATAGATCGATATGAAATGCCACATCGCTCGTTACATTTAAAGATGCATGTATTTGACTAATTTATGATGTTGC